TGCCCCTGCCCCTTGCCCCCGTCACCCCGTCCGCCTGTTGTGCCCAAGCTGTGCTCTCCTCCGAGGGTCGGCGGAGCCTGCCGCGGGGCCTCTGCGATCAACCTTCGGCGGCGAGGGAGGGGAGGATGTACCCATCGGTCGGAAGAAGTAGGTAGAAACATGAAGTAGGAAGGCGTTGGAAATAGATTGGGTTTCCGCACGCCTCCTGAAGAGGAGGGAAGAGGGAAACCCCCTCGACTCTTGAAGTAGGAAGGCGCTCAAAGTAGATTGGAATCTGGGAATCCAAAAATACCTACTTTCAACGACCGATGGGTAAGGGAGAAGGCCTTCACAGATGGCGGCGGGGCATCTCAGAAACCCTCGCGCCTTCTGATGAGTTTCTGTCTTCGGGAAGGACTTGGAGAACTTCTCGGAAGGCCAGGGGACTTTCAAGCATTCTGAGAAGGCCTTCTCCTGCTCACTTCCCACCAAGCTCGCCGCCGAAACTTGTCCGCCGTAGGGGAGGGCTGTCCCAAGGCGACTGGAAAGCTTCCACCCCGACGAGCCACCGTCGGCGTGCAAAGTTTCCAGCCGCCCTCGATGGTGCAGAAGCTTATACAATACCCTTCGTCCGAGAAATCATGTAAGACGAATACAGGACGAGGACAAAATCGGGCAAGCATAAATCGAGAATTTCTGAGATCCAGCGGTTCTGGACGATGTCTCGGGCGCCACGGCCTTCTCAGAGTATTCCGGAACCCTCTGAGCATTCCAGAACGCTCTGGAACGGATTAATCCTCGTCCTAGCCCCGTCCCAACATGTCCCCGACGTATTGATTTTTCAACACGTGGTTCCCAAAAGTCCCGACCCCTTCCTTGGGACCGACCGGTTCTCCGCCCCGAGTCGCTCCTCGACAGTCCCAGGGCTTGGAGAGGACCCCCAGAGGCCCAAAGTGGGAGGTCTGGGTACAGTGTCGTTCTTCTGGTGCAGTGCTCATGAGAAGATGTTCACACATCCTCTCGCGTGAAGGGTCGCCCACAGTGGATTACTCCCTGGGGGGAAAAGAAGCCCCCAAACATCACCCAGCCCTCCCGACAGTGGAGGACAAATAATCGCTGCGACGACGACGACGACGACGACGATGACGACGACTACGATTATGTACGATTACGAGTACGACTAGAACCACGACTACGATGAGGACTGCAGCCACGCCTGCAACCACGTCATGTCGCGCTTGGCCTCCGTCGCTCATCGGCCGCCCTCGCTCTGCGCGGGCGGACGTCGACTTCGCCGCGTCGGCCGCAGGGGCTGCGGGCTCGAGGCCCTACGCGGGGAAGCCCACGCGTGCGAGTGCCCGCGCACGCCCGCGCACGACGCCCCCCCCCCGTGTTCTGCGTCGCTGATGCGGCGGCCGCGCCACCAGCGCCGCTCGTGTGGCGCTCCACGCCGCCCATGCCTGGAAGCCGGAAGAGCTGCATCCACGTCAACCTTCGGAGCTCCGCGCGAATTCCGTGCATCGGCGCTGGACGCCCTCGGCGGCGCCTCCAGCGCCGCCCCTGGCGCGCGCCGCGCGCCCGCCTGGGCAGCCCAGCGCCGGCCCAAGGAATCCGCAGGGATCTCCGAACGTTTCCGCCTGTGCCAACTTTTCTGCGGCAGCTCATGGGAGCCTCCTGTGCCGTCTTGCTGGCCCGTGCGAGTCGACGATGCTCGACACTCCTCGACGCTAGATCGAGGCTAAGCGACGCGAAATCGGCGATCTCTCATCGGTTACTAGGCGCTGGCGCACACGAATACACTCTGAAAACGGAATTACGAGGACATGCAGGGCTGCATGAGTTGCTGCCGAATACATCGGCGACGTCGGCGATGTATCGGCGACGTTGGCGTGGAAAAAGCCGTGCCCCGCATCCAGCCGCATCGCCGATGCATCGGCAATGCGGCGCGATCCCCCGACCGCATCTACTCCAGCCCCCGTCGGGAGGCCTGGAAGGACCCAAGAGTCCGAGTGCCAGGAAGGACATATACGAGGCTCCCACGACTTGCTAGCGAACAACTTCTCCTGGTGCCGCTCTTGCCCCGCGCCCCCCATCGGCCGCCCTCGCCGCACGGGCGGGCGGCGATGAGCATCGTTCATCCGACCCCTATCCCCAACGGCGTGGCCCAGGCCCCACTGGCCGATCTACACCCCTAGGTGGGGCTGTGGGCCGTTTCCTTCGGGCGTCGAGGGGAATATCCTCAACAGGGGTGCTGAGATGGTGGGGGTCTTCATGGGGATGGGGACGGGGAGGCCGGTTGGTGGGGGATGGGGATGGGGATGGGGGTCTGGATGGTGGGGGGTCTGGATGGGGATGGGGGTCGGTTAAACAATGCTGAGGCGAGGGCGCCGCAGTGGCCGCGAGCCCGAGCGGCGCGAGGGCGCCACGGCGCCAGCGCGGGAGCCAGGCAGCGAAGAGCGCGGGAGCCGCCAGCCCGCCTGCCAAGGAGCTCGGCGCGCGGGGTCCGTGCGGGCTGGCTGCTCGCGCCGCAAAGGGCCCGAGCGGCGGCTGGAGGCCGGGAGATGAATCATCCTCCTCTTCCTCCACCTCCTCCTCCTCCTCCTCCTCCTGATCGTCATCATCATCATCATCATCATCATCAGCATCATCATCATCATCATTATCATCATCATCATCATCATCATCATCATCATCATCACCATCATCAGCATCATCGTCATCATCATCAGCATCATCATCATCATCATCATTTTCATAATCAGAATCGTCCTCATCATCATCATCATCATCCTCATCATCCTCATCATCATCAACATCATCATCATTATCATCGTCATCGTCATCATCATCAGCATCATCATCAGCATCATCATCATCATCATCATCATCATCATCATCATCATCATCATCATCATCATCATCATCATCATCATCCGCCTCCTCCGCTTCCTCCTCCTCCTCCTCCTCCTTCTCCTCCTCCTCCTCCTCCTCCTCCTCCTCCTCCTCCCCCTCCCCCTCCCCCTCCTCTCCTCCTCCTCCTCCTCCTCCTCCTCCTCCTCCTCCTCCTCCTCCTCCCTCCCCCTGCTCATGCTCCTCCTCCTCCTCCTCCTCCTCCTCCTCCTCCTCCTCCTCCTCCTCCTCTCTTCCTCCTCTTCCTCCTCTTCCTCATCCTCCTCCTCCTCCTCCTCGTCCGCTTCCTCCTCCTCCTCCTCATCCTCCTCCTCCTCCGCCTCCTCCTCCGCCGCCGCCGCCGCCGCCGCCGCCCCCGCCCCGCCCCTTAGGCCACAGTGACGCAGCCCGCATGCGGTACGCGCCAAATTTTGGCACACCTCTCACACGCTTCGTGGCCCCATACGGGGCTCCACCCAAGGTCCCAGTGGCGCAGCCCGCATGCGGTACGCGCCCAATTTTGGCACATCCCTCGCACGCTTCGTGGCCCCATAAAGAGCTCCACTTATGGCCCCAGTGGCGCAGCCCGCATGCGGTACGCGACCAATTTTGGCACACCCCTCACACGTTTCGTGGCCCCATGGAGAGCTCCACATATGGTCCCAGTGGCGCCGCCCGCATGCGGTACGCGCCCAATTTTGGCACACCCCTCACACGTTTTGTGGTCCCATACGGAGCTCCAACGTAGGTTCCAGTGGCGCAGCCCGCACGCGGTACGCGCCCAATTTTGGCACACCCCTTACACGCTTCGTGGCCCCGTAGGGAGCTCCACCTTAGGCCCCAGTGGCGCAGCCCGCATGCGGTACGCGCCCAATATTGGCACACCCCTCACACGCTTCGTGGCTCCATAAGGAGCTCCACCCAAAATCCCAGTGGCGCAGCCCGCATGCGGTGCGCGCCCCATTTTGGCACACCCCTCACACGCTTCGTGACCCCATGGGGAGCGCGGGCGAAGATGGTATCACAATTGCGGTATTCACAACTGCATATGGCCGGGCCCTTCGCCAGGCTTATTGATGGAATTGGATGCAGCCAGTGCTCAAGCAGCACCGAAGTCTAATTGAAGTAAAAGTAACGCCTACTTCTGGGCCGCACTGGGCGGCTTCTTGAACAGCCTTCTGTACTCGGCTTCCCAGCCCTCTCGCCGAGCTTTGTGCAGACCCGAATGCCACTGCACGTTGGCAGACGTCGCCCCGCCCCTACCGCCCCAGCGAGGCCCCTTTAGGTTGCCCGCCCTCTCGCGAAACCAGCCGCTGCCCTGTCGGCACTGCCCTGTGTGCGACGCGGAGGACGAGGGCGCGGCCGAAGGTCTTGCTGGTACGCTGAACAACCGCGCTGAGGACGAGGGCGCGGCCGAAGGTCCTGCTGGTGCGCGGGGCTGGCCGTCGGAGATGCCGCCGGGCGTGCTGTCGGAGTTGCCGTCGAGGATGCCGTCGTACTTGTTGTCGTCGGGCTTGTCGTCGGAGACGCCGTCGGGCTTGTTGGCGGCCGCTGGCAGCTGCTCCATGCTCGCATCGATGTCGGCGAAGATCCAGCAGTAGTGGGCGCGGGCCTGCTCGGACGGCTCGAACCCGCACTCTGACGCCATGAAAGCAAAGTGGCCGAAGTCGCCCCAGACGGCGCGCGGGTCGAGGCGCAGCCTCATGCATGCATCGAGGGCGGCTGGGTGGCACTCAGCTTCGAACAGGAAGGTCGCCAACGTTGCATCGGCCCACGTGCCGTTGTAGTTGTATGTCGGCAGCGTACGTGGCGTCCATCATCGCGCGGATCGCGCGTCGCAGGATACCGCTCGCGCCCTCACGCAGTAAAGGGCGCCGTTCGATCCAATGCCAAAACGGCATCGGGGGGGGGCGCGGAGGAGGCTCGGGCTCCGAGCAGCCCCCCTCCCCCCCCCCCTAGGGCCTCGGCGTTACTCCCCCCAATGGGCGCTCGACGGGGCCGCGCCCGACGCCAAATACTCTGGGGCGTCACGAGCGACAGGCCCCGATTGGGGCCCACGGGGGGGGGGGCGGCGGGGGGGGGCCACGAAACCAACAGGATTGGCCCTGAGCGGTTCCCAAAATGGCCCCTGATGGTGCAAGACGGGCCCTCAAGATGGCCCGGTGCATCGCGAGAAAGGCATCCTTCAACCACACGTGGTTGCAGGATGCCCTTCTCACGATGTACGCGCTGGCACTTCCACTCGTGACACCGAGGGCAGGATCTGGAAGAAGGTCACTTTCACCGTGACCCTTCATATTGTTGAGGATTGGGTTCCGCCCTCGCCGTCGTCCATGGACGAGGAGCCGCGTGGTGGGCCCCGCGTGGTGGGTGCCGCTTTCTGTGGAGCTCCCTATGATGCTATGAACCGTGTGAGGGGTGTGCCGAAATGGCCCGAGGCCGCCATGCGAACCCTGCCACTGGGGCCTTCGGTGGAGCTACCTATGGGGCCACGATCCTCGTGAAGGGTGTGCCGAAATGGCCCGAGGCCGCCATGCCAACCCTGCCACTGGGGCCTTCGGTGGAGCTCCCTATGGGGCCACGGTCCCCGTGAGGGGTGTGCCGAAATGGCCCGAGGCCGCCATGCCAACCCTGCCACTGGGGCCTTCGGTGGAGCTCCCCGCAGGGCCACGATCCCCGTGAGAGGTGTGCCGAAATGGCCCGAGGCAGCCATGCGAACCCTGCCACTGGTGCCATCGGTGGAGCTCCCCACAGGGCCACGATCCTCGTGGCGGGTGCGCCGAAATGGCCCGAGGTCGCCATGCGAACCCTGCCACTGGCGCCTTCGGTGGAGCTCCCCACAGGGCCACGATCCTCGTGGCGGGTGTGCCGAAATGGCCCGAGGCCGCCATGCGAACCCTGCCACTGAGGCCTTCGGTGGAGCTCCATATGGGGCCACGATCCCCGTGAGGGGTGTGCCGAGATGGCTCGAGGCAGCCATGTTAACCCTGCCACTGGGGCCTTCGGTGGAGCCCCCTATGGGGCCACGATCCTCGCGAGGGGTGTGCCGAAGTGGCCCGAGGCCGCCATGCGAACCCTGCCACTGGCGCCTTCGGTGGAGCTCCCCACAAGGCCACGATCCCCGTGAGGGGTGTGCCGAAGTGGCCCGAGGCCGCCACGCGAACCCTGCCACTGGGGCCTGCGGCGGAGCTCCGTATGGGGCCACGGCCCTAATGAGGGGTGCGCCGAAATGGCCCGAGGCCGCCATGCGAACCCTGCCACTGAGGCCTTCGGTGGGGCTCTATATGGGGCCTCGATCCTCGTGGCGGGTGCGCCGAAATGGCCCGAGGCCGCCATGCGAACCCTGCCACTGGCGCCTTCGGTGGAACTCCCTATGTGGCCACGACCCTCGTGAGGGGTGTGCCGAAGTGGCCCGAGGCCGCCATGCGAACCCTGCCACTGGGGCCTTCGGCGGAGCCCCCCATGGGGCCACCATCCTCGCGAGGGGTGTGCCGAAATGACCCGAGCGAACCCTCGGTGGAGCTCCGTATGCGAAATGGCACGACGCCGCCATGCGAACCCTGCCACTGGGGCCTTCGGTGGAGCCCCCTATGGGGCCACGGTCCCCGTGAGGGGTGTGCCGAAGTGGCCCGAGGCCGCCATGCGAACCCTGCCACTGGCGCCTTCGGTGGGGCCCCCTATAGGGCCGCGATCCTAATCAGAGGTGTGCCGAAATGGCCCGAGGCCGCCATGCGAACCCTGCCACTGGGGCCTTCGGTGGAGCTCCCTATGGGGGGCACGATCCGCGTGAGGGGTGTGCCGAAATGGCCCGAGGCCGCCATGCGAACCATGCCACTGAGGCCTTCGGTGGAGCTCCCCACAGGGCCACGATCCTCGTGGCGGGTGTGCCGAAATGGCCCGAGGCCGCCATGCGAACCCTGCCACTGGGGCCTTCGGTGGAGCTCCCTATGGGGCCACGATCCTCGCGAGGGGTGTGCCGAAATGGCCCGAGGCCGTCATGCGAACCCTGTCACTGGGGCCTTCGGTGGAGCTCCCTATGGGGCCACGATCCTCGTGAGGGGTGTGCCGAAATGGCCCGAGGCCGCCACGCGAACCCTGCCACTGGGGCCTTCGGTGGAGCTCCCTATAGGGGGCACGATCCGTGTGAGGGGTGTGCCGAAATGGCCCGAGGCCGCCATGCGAACCCTGCCACTGGTGCCTTCGGTGGAGCTCCCCACAGGGCCACGATCCCAGTGAGGGGTGTGCCGAAATGGCCCGAGGCCGCCACGCGAACCCTGCCACTGGGGCCTTCGGTGGAGCTCCCTGTGGGGCCACGGTCCTCGTGAGGGGTGCGCCGAAATGGCCCGAGGCCGCCATGCGAACCCTGCCACTGAGGCCTTCGGCGGAGCTCCCGATGGGGCCTCGATCCTAGTGGCGGGTGTGCCGAAATGGCCCGGGGCCGCCATGCGAACCCTGCCACTGGGACCTTCGGTGGAGCTCATTATGCGGCCACGACCCTCGCGAGGGGTGTGCCGAAATGGCCCGAGGCCGCCATGCGAACCCTGCCACTGGGGCCTTCGGTGGAGCTCCCTATGGGGCCACGATCCTCGTGCGGGGTGCGCCGAAATGGCACGAGCGAACACTGCCACTGTG